TCTCTCTCTCTGTCTCATTGTGTCATATGGATTACTGTTAATTTATTATGTTGATCTGTTCTGTACGACATCTATTGCACGTCTGTCCATCCTGGAAGAGGGATCCCTCCTCAGTTGCTCTTCCTGAGGTTTCTACTGTTTTTTCCCCGTTAAAGGGTTTTTTTGGGGAGTTTTTCCTGATCAGCTGTGAGGGTCATAAGGACAGAGGGATGTCGTATGCTGTAAAGCCCTGTGAGGCAAATTGTGATTTGTGATATTGGGCTTTATAAATAAAATTGATTGATTGATTGATTGATTTCATAGGCACTCCATCTGCTGGCAGAGCAGAGGTACAGCACGTGTTTTCCCACCAGTCTTTTAGTATGTCCGAATGGACCCAACTTGTTTAGTAGGTAGGAGTAGTATCTAGTGGTAGTATGTAGTAGTAGTATGCAGTATGCCAGTGGGCCTTTCAGACGCAGCCACTGGCTGTGTACTGATTAGTCAGTCACCTAATTGCTGATAGTTTACACCTGGTTCAGACAGAGAAGTATTTAAAGGAGTTCTGGAGTTTTCCCCACTTATAAATCATGGAAGAGAACCCAAGAAAGAAGCCTAAAGCAGATCAAAGTGATGTTGCCACTGTAGCGGGATATATCAGTAAAGTGAGTGCAGCTAAGATATCCAAAAATGGAACGCATTACTTTAATGCAGTAATTCAGATTTCAAGTGGAAGATTTCACAACGTTGTTTCCTACAAGATGCAGCTCCATGTGCATTTTTTGAAGTTTACAGAAACAAGACAAGCCATCAAACTCTTCAACATAAGAAAAGCATGCAGTAAGTATTTATAAAACAACTCAACTTTTTGCTTAATCATCTTTATCATAAAATACAGTTCTGCTATAATGATCAGCTGACTAATTGTTTTACTTTGGATATTTTAATGAACAGGTTACCGACAATACTCAGAGTATGATGTGATCTGCAAATTCAACACCACAATGGAACCTACCCATGTCAAACTGCTACCCTCTCATCATAAGGTAAATGTGTTTACTCACTAGCTCCTCTTTCTCCACTGTTTAATCTTTAACATTAATAATTTAACAGTTTAAACATTAATATTATCTTATTTCATCAGATTGACTCAATCAGATGCAAGATCACATCAGTTGCTACCCAGAAATACACCGTCTCTGTCCATGGCAGTAATCAGGAGGTCACTACAGTGGTGGGGAATGACGGAACAGCTGCTATGAAAATCCAGGTGTGGAATGAACAGGCATGTGCATACAGGCACAGAAGTCATACATTATTACAAACTTGTCAACAAGGCATTTTGCTGGACAATGTCTACTTACAACAACTCCACACTCAACTTTTACAGAGTGCAAAGATATTACACTGCCTATCAACCATGAAGACATTGATGTGGATCAAAACATTAAAACACTTCTGGGGCAAGCTGTTACTGTGGACATTAAATCTAAATTACATTGCATCATTTGTAAAAAGCACCAGACAGGGAATTCCAATCCCATGGACAAATATCACAGATGTGATCACTGTGAAAGAAAACAAAAGATGTCTACATATGAGAAAACCTTAAGGGGCACTGTGACATTAAAAGAAACTGTGGGTGTAATAAGAGACTACAGAATCAACAATGCCACCATAACCCAAGTACTGCAACAACAAAACAAAACTGAATTGACTCACAATCCTGATGAAATAGAAGAAATGCTCCTAGAAATGCCGACTGTGACATGTTTAGTGGATAATGATGACAATAGAATCATAAAGATTGACCCTTGCACATCAGTTACAGAGCCTTCTTTTAGAAATCAAAAGCAGCAGGGCAGTGAAGATATGTCACTGGAGCTGCTGTTCCAAGAGCCTCCAGTGTAGATGGTCCAATCCTAAAAGTGGAAACAATATTATTTTTCTTTTTACTTTTTATGTTCATCTTAAAAGTGTTAAAGAACAGTTTTAAAAAACTGGAATGTGTAGTTTTTCAACTTAATTTACTAATTTCATTTGTAAAGATGAACACAGAATTTAAGTTGTTAAACTATGTAAGGATTGTATTTTTTTTTACTTTCAATGGGAAGTAACAAAGTACATTTGAGTACTGTACTTAACTGTGTTTAAGTATTTTTTTAAAAAAATCAGCCTCAAGGTCATAGACAACCTTGAGGGCTCTTTTCTTTTCCACATCCATGTTAATGAAAAAAAAATTCACGCATGTAATGGTTACTTTGTTCACCCCAGCCTTTGTTTTCTGTTTTAATTTTTTTTTTTTTTTTTTTTTAAATAATTCCTGATGTTCTGCAGTCTGGTGTTGTGTCACTAGAGGGCAGAGTTGCTAATACTTCTCATTTGTTGTATCTGAGAAATAAAAAAGTCAAATCTGTCTGTACATTGGGTGTATTGTGTACTGCCATTACGTGCGGAAATGCACTGATCGTTATTACGTTGTGATAAGTTAAAATGTTGTATAGCCTACTTTAGCTGGGAGGGGTGGAGGTGTTCTAAGCTGTGTGGTGCAATATCTGTATTTCTACCAGTGCTAACTAAATGCTCTGTGTGTAACTTGGCTTCTCTCCAACCAAGGATGGAGTATCTTGCGCAAGGTTATGTAAACCCAACCAATTAAATATTAAAATCAAATTCTCTCCTGTGGCCCATTTTTCCATTTCATATTTTTGATCTGAGCCTAAAATCTAAAGCATGATAAACAAGCCCTTTTCCTTTTTTGGTATCAGATTCAAAAACAAATAACCAGTCACTCTTTCATTTTTTGATTTGTGATTGTCAATTGAAAATGGAAAGAACAAAATGATACACGGATTCTGGTTCATCAGAGAGAAGCATGTGTCTGCAGACCCGCAATGCACCTGTGTGTACCTCACTTTTCAACAACTATGCACAGCATATTTCCTAATGTCATGCAACAGCCAGCTGATAATGTGAAATCTGTGATTCCTGCCCAGCCAGTATTCCCACTCGATCACTCTTAAATGTTCCTTCAAAAGGTTTGTGGTACGGTTTCCACGGTGCCTCCATACTTCAACCTTGAATGTCTGCCATGCACGTTCCAAGTGCTGAGTGTGGGCTCCAGTGTATGGGTCAACCAAAAGTCTTTTATGACATACTGTGTGATGGTCAAACCCTAGATTTGTAAGTGCCCGCTGGTAAGCTCGCCATTCATCAGAGACAATTTGTGAGCCTCCTCTGACATGACATATTATGGTTGGCAGGAGATCTTCTCTAGAGCGGCCTCTCACCACCTTCAGTATGGGTCGTCTTGATATTTGCCCCACTTCAAGTAAGCCCAAAACCCACTTCTTTGTCCGGCGCCAGGCAGGTCCAACCCGTCCTCTGTTATACTGTAAAACCAAATATTTTCAGATGAAGTGAGAAAGCTTTCTTGGAAGCCACTTTTCAACCCAGTAAATGACACTGTAAAATATTACTATTTAACCAAAGTAAAGACAAGATAACAAGGAGGACTGTGCACAATAATAACAGCTTCATGATGATAAAGACTAAACAATTTCAGGGTTCCCAGGACTTTTCCAGGACATTTTCAGATGATACATTATGCAACACCATACACTAATACATCCCCTGCCCCCATGCTTTGGAGAAATGTTTTTTTTTTTTTGTTTTTTTTTTTTTTACAGTTTTACCTTACTTTTTGTACATTTACACAGATTGCTTCTATGTTTATTCCTCTCCCACCCCCAGATGTCTGATTAAAAAGATGTGCAGTCTATGACTATGACATATCTATAAAATAATCTCTTACATTCTTAGAAATTATGAAAAAGGTATCATAGCTCCATCACACCCATAGATTACAGTGTCGTATAACCAACTGAAATTACAATATTGTTTTTTTTTTGGTTTTTTTTTTTGCGACCATTCCGGAGTCATTTGTTTTTTTGCGACCACTCCGGGGTCATAGTTTATTTTATTCTGCGACCACTCTGGGGTCTGTTGCATAAACGAGGGTTTTTGCCCGCATAAACCACAAAAAAAAAACTTTTCTGGAGGGACTGAATTAAATACAGCTGAGAACAGACATGTATGCTCAAAACTTTTAGCCTGTTTGTGTTCACTCATAAAGCATAAAGAGAGAGGGATGATAAATAATTTTCCAGGACAACTCAGCTTTTCCAGGACATTTGACTTTTTTCTCATTTTCCATATGTTTTCCATGACTGGAAAATTGGTCAATCATTTTCCAGGTTTTCCAGGACGCGTCTTCATGTTACCCTGGTGTCTGATTTTATTGATGGCTGTAATGCAGACCTTGAGAGATGGAAGTTTGATATTAGAGCTTGCTCACATTTGAGACAGGCAAGTTGATCAAAATATTCCACAAGTATATATTCTACTGCTTACAAAGTAATTTAAATATCTGCATATATCTGGTATACAGCAATACACTGTTGTATTGCTGTATACCAGACATTTTTATAACTTGTTGTCTGGCGAGATTCCTGCATTAGCCCTTTTAATGTAGACCAGACTTCCTGGCTAACTTCTGGGTATCCCTCTGCTAACTGGGGATAAATTCAATCATGCAGCTCATCCAGGCTTTCCAAATGTTATCAGTTCAAATGGATCAAAATGTTGTAGTGAACTGAGTCAGGGGTTGTTTGATGCTCAACACAATTTATCCACTGTTTTACAGTACAGTTTTACATTAGCGCCACAGTAGGCTACATTGGAGTTTATGAAAAAAAGCTGCATTCACATGCTTGTTGGATTGTCCCTTTCTTCCGACTTTGGTGTGTTCATGAGCTTTTAATTTGTAATATGGAGCCAACATGGCGGCTACACAGATGTGTTGTATTCAATTGCTCAGTGCTTTTAAACACATTAATAGCTGTTTTTAGTTTTTGCATGACAACAAACAGTGAAGTAAACGGTCGGGAACTCATTTTTCCAACACCACATGAATGCAGCACACATATTCAGACATATGAAGGCAAAAGTTACAACGTCCAAAAGTTACACAGTATAGCTTAAAATCCATTTCATATCATTGAGACAACACCTTTCTCAAACTGGAGGCCATCTTGGTCAAAGTGGAACTGCTGCTAGCAATGCCATCCTCCATCATATCAGTCTGTCTCAGCCTCAATCCTTGAGAATACCTTTGACAGAAATGGTTAATCTTAGTAAAACTAAAAATGAAAACATGAAAAGGTGCACTGGCAATAATTAGTCTATGAATCATTTGGATAATAATATTAATTAACACAGAAGGGAGAACATTTGTTTAAGATAACTAAATTGTTAGTGTTAGTTTCAAATGAGCAATAAGGCCAACATACGCAGCCTTTTGTAGTTATGTTGTTGCTGTGCTGAGTTTTTAGTTCTATGTAGTTTAAGTGGTGTCCTTCAGCCCTGTGTTGGGATTGTGGTCGTGGGGAGCCTTGTTATCCTTGATTCATTCTTTTTTATTTCTTTCCTTTTTTCTTATTTTTTGTCCTTCTTTCATTTGTTTTGTCAATTGGCTGTAGATTAGTATGCAGGACTATGTAAAGGCAAAGTTTGCATATGTTTGTTTACACATCTATGAATTTCTTTATATATCTGCAAGATGCAGAACTGTTAATGTTTTTTCTGCACACATGTACTGGCTGGATGTGTAATGCATGTGTACAGTATGTGTTGATCAGAGAAGGTTGGTCCATAGAAGCAGCAATGGTTCTCCTGCAAATGCTATGATACAGGGCCGCCCCTCCCTAAACGCAGAACACGTGCTGTGTGTAGGGCCTCATCTTCCATGGGGGGCCACATTTTGCGTGAGGGGACGCATTTGTGCATATGCGCAATGGATGAGCACATGCGCTACCGTGAGGCGCGCGTAGAATCAGCTCGAGGAAGGAGAGAAGAGGGGTGCGCTGGCAGGCACTTGCAGAGCTGCAGCAGGTGAAGAGTTGTCGACATGTCGTCCAAAAGAGCCTCAGGAGTGTGTGCGGGGTTGGGACGGCAGGCGAGCTCCACGGAGGGGGAGAACCGAGCCTCAGGGGTATGTGCAGGGCCGGGAGGTCGGATGCTCCCAGAGAGGGGAGAGGGAGAAATATAGCTAAATAAGATGAAAATAGAAAAGAATGTCTCTGTATTTTATTTCTGTTTACAGTGTTTAATTAAGGTGGGAGAGGCGGAGGGCTGAGGGAGATCGGACGCCTCCAGAGAGAGGAGAGGGAGAAATATAGCAAAATAAGATTAAATAGGAAAAACCTGTCTCCCTCTTTTATTTTATTTTCAGTGTTTAATCAAGGGTGGGGGATTGAGGTGGTGGAAGTTAATTTCTTTAGATGAGTAATTGAAGGATATTTGTGACTCAGATTTGTTTATTTATTTATTTCAGTTTGAAGTTATTTTTATTAAATATTTATTTATTTATTTCAGGTTGAATTTTATATTTTATTTGACTCATACAGCCAAACTACTGTATCTACAGTACATTTGTTATTGCCAGTAAAGGTTGTCAAGTTAAATTGCAAGTTGTTGTACGGTCATTTTGTACCTGTGATACATTTGGGATGGGGGCCTCCAAATAAAATTTCGCTTAGGGCCCCAATTTGGTCAGGGGCAGCCCTGCTATGATATATAGAAAGACATAATGAGAGTTATTTCACCTCATGAAAACATGCATTGTGGATATATCCCCTTAACTCTGGCAATGTTACTACACTAGTACTCCTATTATATGTCACAATGATGCGACATTCGCATAATGTTTTGTAAATAAAGTTAATTATTGTTTAATTTCCAGGTACATTTTCAACATACCGTAAATTGATATAACCATACAACATCAAAAACATGTTGAACACTACATTTTGTCAAAAAACATTTGATTGGGGACTCACTCTATTTCACTGCATCAGAAAACCTATTAACAGCAACTATCTTCTATATAATTGGATAGGTCTATTGTCTGTGGGATCTTAGCTATAATGGTGATGTTGCCTTTTAAATTTAGATTATACTAGGTAAGGATAAAAACAGTTATTCCCTTTATTGCATTTCCAGATTCATTTTAGGTAAGTCTATATTATTTTAGATGAGTTTCTTTTCTTCCTAGGATAGGGCTAATGTTAGCTTAAAAATAAAATAGAATCATACATACATATTCATTCAGAGATCCCTTACTGCTGCATCCAAATAACCATATTAATCATATTTTGGTCATTTCCAAAATGGTTAATGTTAACTAATAATACACCAACCGATGGATGAACTCCAAATGGCTCTGGAGAGGTCTCCGGGAATTGAAGAAGATTGATCCACTTCTGACAGATTTCCTCTGCTGACGGTGGCCTTTGCTGCCACAAGACCTAAAGGGTGAATTTTAAAAATAAACTATTAACCAGCGGTAGATTAAATTAACACTATAATGTTAATGACATAAAAAATATTACATCAATATACTTAACGTTGCAATTAGGGATGTTCCTGGCGACTAATTTGCTAGTCGATTAAACGAACATTAAAATTTTGACTAATCGACTAGTCTAAAAGTAAGACAACACCCAGAAAACAGTCAAACTTGAGAACAATTTAATCGACACAGTCTGAAAAAATACTGCATGTACGTGGGAGCCATTTGAAACCGTTAATCACATTTCTCAGTAACCACATC